AATTAAATTAAATTAAAGTATAATAAATTAAATAAATACATAAAAAATAAAGAAAAATGTAAATAAATTAATACATATCTATGACTTGTTTATGATACAATTTCGCGTAAATTGGAAGTCATGGGACTTCACAAAAAAATTTTTTTTAAACTGTTCGGTGACTTTTGGCCACCCACTGTATAATGTTGTTGGAAAAATATCATATCCTTTTACTGTAAATTGTTTATATATACAGTATCAAATGAAATTAACCATCAATTAAATTTTAAATAGACAATATAAGGTATCTATATTTACAGTATATACTTTTGTTTAAATCAATAATAGGCGATTTTAGAATTTTACTTTATCAGCAAATCATATTTATTCCGATTCAATCATCACAATCCTACAGTCCCAAGTAGAACATAATAATCGACGTGTGGAGCTGATTAGATTAGACTAAAAATAAAAAAAAAAACAGATGGAAGATCTTGATCATGACGGCGATCACTTGTCACTTGTAGATTAAAGAATTTCAATGTTCACCAATAACCCAGCATTAGAAATTTCATTTTTTTATTATTTTATATAAATATAAAAAATGTTTTGATATAAATTTAAATTTCACCAGTATTCTACAATCTTATTGTTGGTTTAATGTTCACCATAACAATATGTAGCACAGTGATCTCTTCTAAAGCGTGCATGTGTTAATATTGGTCATGCAAAATTTTGAATACATTCCCCACAACAAAAATAAATACGGGATATCAAGAGTGCCTCTTCAGATACATAATAAATTATTTTAAATCTAATTATCATTTCTAGAGTTTAGCTTTGTTCTGAATAGTTGTAATCTCATCGTACAATAACGTGGTAATAAATTCAGCATATTCTTTTCCGGTGATTTGATTTGCCATGTATCGTTTAGCCAATACATACTTGCTTGAACTGAAATTCTGAGGGCCCAATTGTTTCTCAACTTTCACCAATTCTTCATCAAGCAATTTAAGAAGATATTCAGGTGTAACCTTTTTTCCTTCAGAAGTTCGAACGCCGTGTTTCGCCCACTGCCATAATTGAGATCGTGAAATTTCGGCAGTGGCGGCATCTTCCATGAGATTATGAATCGGCACACATCCTAATCCTCGGAGCCACGATTCAATATAGGTCAAGCCCACCGAAATGTTACCACGAATACCTTTTTCGGTGATGGAACCGGAAATGTTGGTATTAAGTAGATCCAATGCAGTGACATTAACTTCTTCGCGTCGAACATAGATTTGATTTGGAGTTTTTAAATTCTCGTTGAAAATATCTAGAGCAACTTTCACTAGATCAGGGTGGGCAACCCAGGTTCCGTCATGGCCGGCCTTAACTTCGCGCAACTTATCGAGGCGAACTTTCTCAATAGCTGCTTCGTTAGCCTTAGGATCATTTTTTATAGGGATTTGAGCCGCCATACCACCCATGGCGTGAACTCCACGACGATGGCAAGTTTTGATGAGCAAACGCACATAAGCGTCCATGAAGGGCGTGGTCATGGTAACATCCGAACGATCGGGAAGTACGAAATCCGGGTTCTTGCGGAATTTCTTGATCACAGAGAATATATAATCCCATCGTCCACAATTGAGACCAGCAGAATGTTCACGAAGTTCATAAATAATCTCGTCCATTTCAAACGCAGCTAGAATAGTCTCAATCAAGACGGTGGCGCGGATCGTACCACGAGGGATCCCCAGCAGATCTTGGGCAACATTAAATATGTCATTCCACAGTCTAAAGAAGATATTTTATGAGCATCAAAGGATCCGATTATAATTCCCACTCGTTATCAACAAAATGTACCATACCGTGCTTCCAAGTGAGATTCCATCTTGGGCAAGTAGAAATATGGACCACTACCTTTCTCGATCAATTTCTTGGCATTGTGGAAGAAGTACAAAGCAAAATCAAAAATGGAAGCAGAAGCAGGAACCCCATCAATCAATACATGCTTTTCTTCCAGATGCCATCCTCGAGGACTAATTTAAATGATTTTAAAATGAAATATGCTTTCATTTGTTATTCCCAGGAATTTAAGGGTGATGTCATGTGACCAAAGGGGATGACAATGAAGAAAAAATTTTACCGAACGATCAATGTAGCAAGTTTCCCATCCTTTCGTAAAGCATACTGCTTTTTATTCCCTGGATTGGTGTACGTAATGGTTCCACGCACGGCATCACGTAAATTCACTTGTCCGTCAACATTGTTGTTCCATGTGGGAGCATTGGAATCTGAGACGTCAGCATGAAGGAACACGTTAGTGACACGATGGATAATCGTTTCATTTATATCGGTAATAAATTAGTTACCCTCAAAATCGGCCATGTAGGTGTAGGCGCCACTATTTAGGGCATTGATAACCATTTTTCTGTCTACAGGCCCAGTTATCTCAACACGCCTGTCAACCAGACCAGGAGCAGGATAGGCACCGCGCCAGGAGTCGTCCTCCCTAATGTGAGCGGTTTCCAGTAAAAAGTCAGGAAGAACGCCACGGTCTAGTTCTTGTTGTCGAAGAACACGACGTTGAAGTAACGCCTTCCTGATAGGGTTAAAAGCTCTCTGAAGCTTTGCAAGGAATTCGAGAGCTTCCTTGGTGAGAATCTGTGACTGGGATTCACTTACCGGAGCGAGAACAACAATTGAGTTAGACATTTCCAATTGCTTGTATTACAGGCAGTCAAAACCGTTTTACTTTTTAAAAAACTTTTTGAGGTGATGATTGGTTAATGCTCTGATATGTCGCCCCTGTGATAAAAATATTAATAGTAACCAGTATTATTGAATATATATAGCCGCTGTGAAAGCCTGATTATCTTTATTACCTTCTAGATTGGCGATCACATTGGTGTGATTATTGGATCATGATGACTAATGAATGATATAGCGCTTACCATATTTTGGCTAGTTAATTACATTAAACAGGTCAGTGCGAAAAAGAGGAAATATGTATTATATACTATATATGTGCATATAAGTTATATACTGTATAAAGTATATACTGTAAATACACTACATTTTAATTTAATTTCTCGGGAATACATCTGTTCATTACCACCTCTCTGATTTTGTAATTTCGCAAACATTCTAACGGATCCTCTAATAGACATTTTAAGGAGCCCTCCATGCTCTTACCACCAAAAGCGCTGCCAAAACTAAGGTCGAAGCTACTAATAATTTTATTACTTCGATCATTTGAACTAGTTTCGTAAGTTCGCGATACTGGAATTATTACATGACAAAATACCAAGGACTAGGGAAACGAGAAGGAATATCAAATTGGAGTTCATGGTTAATTGATTAATTTTAAGGTTGAATAATTTTAGTTACCTTTTTAACTTGCCCGCACACTCTAGTCAAGTTCATCATCGATTGCCACGAAGAAGTTACATTTTTCCGAAAGTATAGATCATTGCTATCGTCGTTTCGAATGTTATGACATGGCAATATTACCACACCGTATCTATAAATTGTTTCCCCAGAACAAGATCAATCTTTGTGAGCGAAAAATCGTAACCAATTTCAAGAAGATGAATCATTCAATTAAATGAACTTACTCGGCATGTTTAAATACAGGTCCTTTTTCGTACAGCACTAACAGAGGATAACCAATTAGTAATAAAGTGATTTGAGGTCATCGTGGAGGGGAAAGAATCTTACCGAAATCGGTGCCAAACTTATTTCCACGTCCAACGACCCATCCCAAGCTGCGAAAATAATGAAAGGCCACGTATCTTATCACGAATGGGTTATCAAATTGATTGTTTACTGTGAGTAATGGATCATCGAATTGGACGCTCGACGAAGGTTGTTTATCTTTTATTGTCGAGTGATGAGCGATGGATGCAATTCGGAATTTATTCCAACATTCTTGAATGGTCATCAAATTCTAATGTATTAATATATGGGATGAGTAAAATAGATGAACACGCATCCATTATAACCAAAACTTGTCGTTTCGATATCTTTAATGACGGTGATAAGTGTAATCGATAGTTGCTAACTATTACTTTGTTGACATCATAAATATCCAAACTACCAATTCCGAAGCACAAAAAAAATGCTTCTTCGGTGGTAAGCTGCAAATGTTCTTTAACTTGACCGTCTTCATTATCGTTTTTGTCATTAACATCATTACTGGAAGATCTTTTGCCCTTATAATATTCCATTTCACATAAATCTTCGTGATCTATCTTACTTTTTTCATCTATATCCACAATTTCTGCCAGTATCTTCACATCCTTATCACCTGTAACGTGAGATGTACCTTCGATATCAGGTGAAATTTTATCAGCCTTACTATCCTTGGTAGTCGCATCATCAGCAACAAGATCGTTCGTGATCTTGGCATTTTTATCGTCTCCAGTTTCATTTTTATTCTTCTGTTTCATTTTTTTTTTTGCTCGATCCATCCTGCGTTTTCTTGTAACTTGTTCGGCCGTTAATTCACCTTATTTTCGAGCGATGCATCATTAAAGTACAATTAATAAGTCGCGACGAATTTTATTTTATTTTATTTTATTTTTATTTTTTATTTTTTACCACGGCACATACCTTTTCCTCTCCCACACCAAGTGGGTTCGCTTCTTGACAGATTTCCTTTACCGAAGAATCCTTGCTTCCATAGCTTTTCGATATCCTCTTCACCACTAACAATCACACTGTTCGAGAGTGGATCAAAAGTACCTCGAGGTTTTCTATTTCCGCTGGAGCTTTGTAAAGGATTTTGTGCGGAATTGGTTGAAGTTAGGTAATTGGAGAAGAATGAGAGTATCGAAGAAAATATTGATGAAGTGGTGGGAGAAAGTGGTATTGGAAGCGGGAGGGTGTATAAAGATTTATTCTTAACATATTTATCTTTTGATTTTGAGGAAGACATTTGACAGATGTCAAACTGATGTTCGGCCAATCAAAAAGTTTCTCATCTCCGACGATACTTCCAAATCAATCTACAATGTCATTATCTTTTGCGCTGTCATTGGGTATTTGGAATCTCACCCTTTTTGGTCCTCGATTCTCTTTTGGATTAAGATGTGAGCTTAAAAAAGGAGACCCTATGTTTTTGTCAATAATCGGCTAGTACAGAGTCATTAGTGGCCTTCAATTACGTCGACCTTAATCGTAATACAAAAAGTCGAATTTGGATCTGTGATTTATAAATAACTTGCGTAACTATTCCCACTACAATTCAGATTGTTCTTGCACCATGTTGAAGTTTTGGTTGAAACAATTTTCACCGTTTCCCTTTCTTTTATTATTGCTACTTTCTCATTCCTTTCGTGCGCTCTCCCAACAAATACCATTCTCTCTGTCATCTGATTTGAACGAAAAGAAATACTTTACCTTAAAACAGGTTCTTCACCACGGTGGAATCATTAGTTCTGGAAAAACTTTATTTCGTAAATTAGAAATTGAAAAGGATGGGAATTTGGTTTTCGAGGGAGACAGCCTTACTGGCAATGGTCCATCCGGTGAATACGTTGTTAATTTTCTTGGGGAACCACGAGAGAGCGGATTTGGAGAAGAAATCATTGAAAGAAGATTCCCGATCCCTGATCACAAAGATTTATATTCAATACTTAGTTTGGCTAAAATGTCTTACAACGCATATCTTGGAATTTCTGGCCCGTACGAATGGATAGATTTAGAAGACGTGGATTACGAAGTATGCATCTAAACTTACTCTTGAATTAAGTAGTCACGGTAACAGGAAAATACATTTTTACCAACAGAAAATTCCATTCGGCTGGGAAGAAGTTGGACTAAGGGGTTACATATTCACTGATCCTGGGAATTCTACGGTGATCATCGCCTTCAAAGGAACCAGCTTGAAATATATTTACAGAGATGGTGAGACCGCACCCAATGATAAATATAATGCAAGTTTACTATGCAATCGCGTTATGTTTCGCTGTAATTATTCGGGATGTCCATAATAACATGATAATAATGAATAGGATAATCTGATGTTCTCGTGCTGTTGCGCAAAGATCGACTTGACTTGGAAAGGAATATGCAATTGTAAGAGGGACAAATTGAGATGCGATGGCCAGTGTGTTTTAAGAGAATCCAAGAGGCCAGATAGCTATTTTGAAAGTAGTTTGGTATGTCTTTGGTGGTCACCATTATTTCTGTTAGGCGCAAGAACTTGAATTGCATCCACTGATTCGTGTTCTTCCTTCTCTGAATGAACGATGCATTACTCAAAAAAGAAAATATATAATTGGGTAAAGAGTAAATTCCCCAATTCTACGATTTTGCTAACTGGACACTCGTTAGGTAATGTTTCTTCGTCTAGCGTCGTTTATTCGTTATGGAAAATAATTATCTAGAGGCTGAAAAAAAAGAAAAAAAAAAATAATAGGCGGTTCGATTGCGTCCTTGGTTGCGCTAAAGTATAACGTACCAGCAATAGTATTCCAAACGCCTGGCGAAATGTTGTACGCGAAAAGGATTGGGTTAGACGTTAACAATTCCAGCGCCTCGAATATCTATCATTTTGGTCACACAGCTGACCCAATATTCACTGGGGATTGCATCGGAGTTTCCACCTGCTACGTTTGGGGGTTCGCGGTATGTTTTCAAATTCCATTATCGGATATCGTAAGAACATAATAGACATCTTCTCAAGAGGAATCCTTGTCGTTACAATAGATGGAAACAAAATGCCATTTGGGCAAATCGTGCCCGTATGACACAAGAAACCGGTTAGGTTGGAGTTCCAACATAAAACACCATTCATTATTAACATTTATCGAAAAAGTTATAAAGGAATGGTCGTCCATTACGGGAGGCGAAGAAGATGTCGCGCAATGTCAAAGCGAGACGGGATGCACTGATTGCACTAACTGGCAATTTGAATATTGACACTCTATCGTATAGTTCAGGTGGGACGATCGGTCTATGACTACACCCTACTCGGTTTCCGAAATTTAGACTAACTCCGTACCCCTTGTTGACTACTACTATCGTTTATGTAGACATGTACTAGCTGAATTTATGAAAATTGGGAAAAAAGATTACTTGACTTTGTAGTGTTTTCTAAAAAAATTCTTACAATGCAAGGACTATATAACATCAATAGAGAAACAATGATGGCCTGCAAGCAAGATCCGAAGATGATCGTGCACGCCTATTATTTTTTATTCCAATATTTATTATACCAATATAACAACACGATGTCATCGAAGGATATTACATGTTGATCAACTTTGGGGCAATAAACGCAACTTTTATCAATTGTGAAATTTATTTACATTGCATTTTCACAGACTCTAATTATGTACAATAAGATGGTATATTCATTTTTCACAAAAAGATAAGGAAATTCTTCGGTTAAATATATGGAGGTAAGTATTAAGTAAACTCAATTCCCGCAGGAACCAAAGTTGGAGGGACCGAATGTGTGGAATTTTCCACGAACCATTCATGAATAATTTAAAACCAAGTTCTTGATTCACCTCTTCCTTCTCGACTTTTTCTGTGATTTGTCCGGTGGAAACAAGGAATTTCCGGCTTTAGCCACCTGGCAAATTTCCTCGGACAACTCGCGTGGCAAATATCGCTCCGCCAATGATTCGAAACTTACCTTATTAGTTATTAACTTTTGCCTTTTTGTAGGGGCACATGATTCAATCAAATTTTGTGAGATTTGGCATTAATTTTTAAATAAGAATTGTCCATGACACAAACCTCTTCATTAGAAGAATTACGTCCTTTTCCTTAATCACTTCTCTTTTACCGTGCGTTGCGTATGTTGCTAAATCGTCGGCAACTTGTTCGAGAAACAAATGTGTTCTGCATCACCAAAAATAAATAAATTATTTACTTATATTTTAAATCGGAGAATCTTTTACATTTATGTAGGTGCAGTACGTACCCTTCAAAGATGGTCTGCATAGCATCACTCGAGACTTTATTCATTGAAAAATTGCTGAATATTTTTTTGACTAAATTATATGGTAGATGTGGTTGCCCTTTGGATTTAGGAACTCTTGAATTCAGTAGTCAAAAGTAAATACAGAAAAGAAACAACTTGTGAGATGTCATTCCTTCTTAAAGCGACAGTTAACAATATACCTCGATCTCCTTTTTTTACTCTTTCCCTGTATGTCTTTTACTTCTGCACCAGTGAATAATCTCGGCACTAGCATATTTCCGAATTCATTATCCAATAAACATTGATATTGCATTCCATTGTTTTCTTCACTTGATTCGGGTTGACAATCCATCTCAATTTCATCATCATCACATTCTCGCTGATTACCATCATCTAAATTAAATTCGAAAGAATTTTCTTCGATATCTTCTTGTTCATTTTCACTTTCACCATCCGACTCTTCAATATTGCTATCATTTTCTTGTTCACTTTCACTTTCACCATCTGGCTCTTCAATCTTACTATCATTTTCTTGTTCACTTTCACTTTCACCATCTGGCTCTTCAATATTACTATCATTTTTTTGTTCTGAATCAGTATCGCTATCAGAATCCGACTGATGCACCACTTCAACAATTTTATCTTTCTCATTTTCTTTTTCACTGTCAGATCCCAATTGGTATTCTAACTCATCCCCATCCAAATTCGTTTGAACGTCATCTTGTCCATTTTCTTTTTCACTGTCAGACTCCAATTGACCCTCTAACTCATCACCATCCAAGTTTGTTTGTCCATTTTCTTTTTCACTGTCGGACTCCAATTGACATTCTAACTCGTCCCCATCGTACTCCATTTGAACGTCATCTTCTTCATACTCCTGATATTCTACGAGAGGACTATCACGGTCATCGTTTATTATGATGTCACTCTGTCCGGGATCCTTTATCACTAGAGTTCTCCTCACATTTTTGGTCTCATCTTCTCCCGGCCTATCTTGTATTGGATCGCGAATAAAAAGTTCATTATCTAACTTAACTATTTTATTTGACGGCGAACTCTGTGATTCTTCCAATGATTCTTTCATTAGTTCGCTGAGTAGTTTATTAAATGGTCCTAAACTCTTTGTAGATGCTGCATCTTCCAAGGGAGCATTTAATGCTTTGTCGGAATTTCTTCCCATCCAAAAATCAAGTTCTGCATCAACCCGTGATGAAAGTTCGTCGACAGCCACAGGAGAATCATGCTCATCAACAACACATTTTTTTCTGAAAAGATAGTACAAAATCAGCGAATAAGTTATACAACAACACTAAGACCTATTAAAACTCAAAAAGGCGTACTCTGACGATCGAATCGGTATGACCTCATCAAAATCATCAATAACTTCACCGGTGAATTCAATGGTTTCGGTTATTTGATCGCCAAAAACCTTTGAAAAATCATCGTCGCTATCATATGGAATCATGCGACGCTGCACCTCAGTGTCCAATTCGTTTTCCGTGATATCATCTTCTTGTCGAGATATTTTATCTTCTGGTTGCGATTCAATCTGGTCAGGAATAACATCTGCGTCCTTGATTTCATGTTCAACTGGTTTCTGCACGAATCCCGGCGCTTTTGATGATATGTTTTTTATAATAAATTTGTGAAGACTCAATCATTATGCGAAAGAGATTCGTGTATTTACCTCGCGACAACTCCCTTAGTAAATCTTGTGGTGTTATTTTTTTTTTTATTTTGGTTCCGCTATTTTTGTTATTTTGCCTTCTTGATGATCTTCGAGTAGAGCTTGGGGTGAAACGTGCAGTATTGGGCGTTTGACGCGTTCTCGGCTTTCGAGGAGTGCTATTACATTTTCTTGACGTCTGTTTACCCTGAACCAGAGCTCTGGATAATTTTCGTAGCTAAGAACAGATGCGCAAGTCAATTTCCAGCAAAACATGATACAACGAATGGAAAGTCACGTATTTCTCAAGTTATACAACCTTACCATTTTAGACGGCGTTTCTTTAGGGGCAGCTTCTGTTATCTTTGATTGAGTATTTTGACCTTCGACTGTGTCCGAACCCTCAACATCAAGTTGCACGATGGCACCGCCATTTAACGCCTGTCCAATATTTTTTGGTGTAGCCGCAACCGCTCTACGTTTTCTTCCAGCACTCTCCTGATTCTTTTGTGCAGACAACGGTAGAGGGCGCTTTATCGCAGTTCGAACGCGACGTCTCACAGGCGATGTTTTGTTTTCTTTGTTCTCGGTCATTCCCTTAAAACGAAAATATGTGGTGGGAAAGGTAACAACAAAAACTAACCGACTAATTCGAATAAGCTAAGAATATCATAAACCAATGGGTTATGGATAATGCGAGCACGAAAAATACGTTTACTTTCTACTCCCCTTATTTATATGTACAGTATATGCGTGCATGAAATACTGATGATCGTGAAATGATTATCAGAATTTTTGCTCTCCAGCTATTATGATACAACCGAGGAACATAAATAGCAAAACATTGAGACAATATTTGACAAAACTTGGATCCAGAACTCAACTTACGGAAAGAATTCAAGCTTATAAACAATGGAATCACAAAATAAGCAAATTGCACCCTGTTAATTCCATTAGGCCTTTCTTTGATAAGAACACGCGATTCGAAAGCACAGATAAAACCGTGACAAAGTCAGAGGAGGCGCTGGCAACATCAACGACGGCAGCACCATCCCACAACACGGATGGCAATAAGATAAGCACTACCACCATCCCGCGAAAACAACCGACAACTGAGCTGAATCTCCCGAGACTCTTGAGAGCTTACAGGGATTTATCGAAAGCAAAACTTGCGACTCTTGTAATATTAACAACAATGTGCGGATACGCAATGGCACCAATGGCAACAAATGTGACTTGTCTCTTTGCCACTACGGCGGGGACGGGATTATGCGTAGCATCAGCGAATGCGATCAATCAATGGTTGGAAATCCCCTATGATGCACAAATGGCGCGTACGCGTAATCGGGTACTCGTACGTAACGTGATAACGCCAACTCATGCATTATATTTTGGTATAGTAACCGGGATCACCGGAACAGGGATTTTATCAACCATGGTTAACCCTCTGACTGCATTATTGGGAGCATCAAATATTTTATTATACACGTGTGTTTACACCCCCATGAAACGGGTGACCATTGCCAACACATGGGTTGGATCCATTGTCGGAGCAATACCGCCAATGATGGGTTGGGCGGCGTGCACAAATAACCTGGAATCCGGAGCTTGGGTATTAGGAGCAACGTTATTGGCTTGGCAGTTCCCTCATTTCAACGCGCTCGCCTGGAGCATGAGGTCTGACTACGCAAAAGC